CCAAGTAGGAAGGCGAGCTGTGCCCATGGCCTACAATACTTTATGCAATGTGCGCGCCGTCAAACCTGCATCCAGCAATTATGAATGCTTTACTAGCTCTGGTGGACTAGCCTCGATCGCGTATTCCAACGACGGTCTTTTCCTCGCCATCTGGAGATCAGCGCCTTTATGTGCAGGTATATCTACAATCGCGAAGTCAGCAAGCCAGACAATCAAAGGAACAATGATGTGGCTGGTCGAAAGTCACATGCCAGAACCAGGAGATGAAACACAACTTACCCTCCGTCGACTCGCAGATCTGCACCGGTGACATAGCGACTGGCATCACTCAGCAGGTATACCACCGCTCCCTGAAGATCCTCTGGAGAACCCATCTTGCCGACCGGGATCAGGGATGTCCAGGTCTTGTTAAGCTCTGGGTTATCATCCAGAATCTTACGGGTCCTGTATGATTCGTTAGCTGGTCGAGGGAAACCACACAGTAACAAGTTACTTACAGAGCTGTCAACATGTAGCCAGGGCTGATACAATTCACCCGGACATGAGCGTGCGCCCATTCCACGGCCAAACTGGCGGCAAGATGCCTAACCGCCGCCTTCGCTGCATTGTACGGCGCCTGTGGTTGCGGCACATTCACAATTGAGCCAGACATGCTCCCAATCATGACAATGCTCCCGTGTGTAATGTTGCGCTCCATGAGATGCCGACCCACGGCGGTGCTGAAAAGATAAGTACCGTCGACATTGACGCCCCAAAGTTTCTTCATGCGCTCATACGGGTACGTCTCAGCAGAGAAGTTCTCTGTGAATCCTGCCGAGGTGACCAAATGGTCGATTTTGCCGTGCTCTTTGATGATCTCAGCGATGCACGCATTCACCGATTCTGGGTCCGAAACATCGGCATAGTGAGCCGTCACCTTGGGAATATAGTCGTCGGAGCCGCTGTCCGCGTTTTCCTTGGACATCATCGACATGAGTTCTGCAGCTTGCTTTTCACCTTCCTCCTCTATTGAGATTGACAGGTCAGCATGCTTATCTTCTGGGGGGTGTGGGAGATTCATCTGGCAGGGCTAGAACCTTAGAGGACCTCGGCGTCGTCTAAACAGCTCTTTCCACGAACAAGGATCCCTATGGCGGAGAAAGGTGTGTATCCAAGACTTACTATTCAGGTCAACAATAGCCAGGTCTGCTCCCGATTGAACCAGGCCTTGACCCATGACCAGTCCGAGCCCTCGTGCACCCCCAGTCACGACTGCTGTCCTCCCCTCGAGACTGAAAGTCGGCAAAGTTCTAACATATTGTATCCCACCTCTCCCCCGCAACGGCCTGTCCCGGGGAAATTCTTCTTCTGGAGGGTATTCCACCACGATATCTCGATCTGTTCGGGCGGCGGAACCTTCATGAGGGCCGGCCGAAGTACCGGTAGCATCGGTCGAGACTTTATGGTAGGGATCTAGTTCATCTTTTTCCAGTTGGGTGGGAGTGACTTTGAAAGAGCGGGAGGATGTGGAAGACAGAGGTCGGACGAAGGATGGAGTCGACCGCAAACGATTGAGACGAGGTATTTGCCGAAGGAGACGAAGGGCGGTAGGTGTGTTCATTTTGAGATTCCCCCTCTTGCTTTACTCTTTTGTACACGTTTGTTGATGCCGGACAGAATATCGAAGGGACAACCACACTATGCCAGAAATCTGTCACTTTCACTTTTAGAGATATTACTTTATAGCCAGGCGGTTAAAGGAAACGGCAGGAGAATGCGAGAGTATAGTGATTGTAAAATTGGCAACGAAAGGACAAGAAGCAGTTTGAACCAGCTTAGTATGTGTTGTGTACAGATGTTTGTGTATGGGGAGTAAATTTCCCCCTTCCAGGAAATTTTTGATTGAGATGGCAGATGAAAGATGCAGGGTCACCCAAGGTGCGTGAAGCGGAGAGTTGCAACGTCAACGTCATATGTCATTGAGGGTCCAATAATCCCCCTTGGTGCCCCTCCCCAAGCTCCCCTTGGAAGCTTCCGAGCTCTTAGCTCCACGACAGACGGACAGGGATAGGGACAGGGACCTCTCCAACTCGCAGTAGTAGTAATAATATGCGGCGAAACATGTGCATGGCGAGACGGGGGGATTCGTCAGTCTCTTGTCCTCGTCTCGTGTGGAGTAGGAGATCAACATGGTCCTTACAATCCTAGCGAGACAAATACGTACCCCCAACGACCCAACAACTTCAGAACCTACCTACCTACAAGCAAGCAAAGCTGCCCCCCCCCTTCTCCCCACGCTTACCGTACGCGGTGCGAGTACACGCATGTAGGGGAGTGATTGGCATACAAAATCCCCGACATGGATGGATAATCCAACCAACAGACGGAGTTATTGTACCTCGCAACTCGTTAGATACCTACGTAGTAGCTCGCATTGACCTACAGACCTACTTGTACAGACCTACAGTAGCACCATAGGTACCTAAGACCAAGTAGGGTATCCCGCCGCCCTCAATGAAACCTAATCGGCTATTTCTACTCACCCTGTCTGTGTTCCTTTAAGATCTGATTTCTTTTTTTCTCCGTTCGATCCGGTACCACCCCATTACTGATGTTCACGCGTGCCTTCATCTCCTCCACTAATGAGTAAGAGGATGATGCGTGAGTTGAGGAGCATAGCGACGATGACGGCGAGTCATAATGGGTAGATAGGATCTTCCACACCCAACTTTCATAGCCTTGTACGCCATACATAGACCACACGCCGTACTGAGGACACCATACACCCGGAATGAATACACTAATCCCCCCATCGTCACCACCGTGGATATATATATACAGATGGAGGATGAAGGATGGAGGATGGAGGATATGGCATAGGACATGATGTGTTCCATATACTAGGTAAGGACGTATGGACCCTGGGGAATATGTTCAATATGCTGCGCTTTATTGTACAGTGCATGGCAAGACGAGTCTTTCGAAGAAGGGGAAAAGGGATTTATACCTACACCTCAGCCTTGCAACATTGACCGCTGACACCTACCCGGGAGCGTGAGACTTTTTATCCACTTATCTACCGGCACGTACGCCCTTGTGTGAAGCATTTTTACTGGGTTAACGAGAACAAATTCATCTCTTCTATTCATTTCATTTCCATGTTCTATTGGGTTTGGAAAAGGTATGGCGGTGAGTGAGCTTCACTTGGGAATCTCTGATCTTATGACTACCTCAAGTGTCCTTCTCTGGCCTCGTCACGCTTTGGCACCACGTCCCCGTCTCTCCCCCCTTCTCTCCGAGACGAACCACCACGTGCCAAACGCGGCCGTCACGAACCACAAGACCAGCCCGGCCAGGTCGAACCCGACGGCGGTCTTCATGCGCTGAATGCCGCTCTCATACTCGACCTTCTCGCCGATGTACATGGAGCCAAAGATGCCGGACAGGGTCGCGAAGAGGATGGTCAGAACCCAGTCCCACGCGAACAGCAGGGCGACGGTGCGGTAGTGGAAGAAGATGCTGGCGAGCGAGAAGATGAGCGACGTCACGGCCGCGAGCGACCCGACGGTGACGGCAAAGACCTTGAGCGCGATTAGTACCCGGACCAGTTCGGGCGGGAAGGACGTGAGTGCGTGGGTTTCGGGGTCTGTCGTACGTACCCATTTTGCGTCGGCGTACTTGTCTGCCTTGGCCGCGTTGTTCAGGTCCACCGCGTACATGCCAATCACGACGAGGGCGTCGATGAGTTGCAGGGACCGGAAGACCAGGTTGAAGATGTTGGATTTGCGCAAGGTGGCGAAGATGGTGAAGATACCCATGGTTTCGGAATGTCTAGGACCTGGTGTTTATCTGGATTGTGATTGCTTGGGTTCAACCTTGTGTTGTTTCTCTGTTGGATGTGATTGTGTATGAACTTACGATCGTTGGCCTTGGATGTTGACGTTGGAAGTGTCGAGCAAGAGGGATGGATGAGAAGCTGTCTGTGTCAGAAATTTGCAGAATAGTCCAGAGATCCAAATGGTCTGGCGGAATACTTCGAGCAAATACCTTGAATCAGTCAAACAAAAGAACTGCAGTGCCTTGTCAAATCACTTCAATGGGTGTTTGTCACCTAGTGGACTAAAACCTGGCAGTGACACAAGCCGGCTTTGTTCGTTCTTTGCCTGTGGTTTGTGTGGCCTTTTGTGCGACTGACAACGACTGACAATGGCCCTTCGCCCTTTGTAGATGGCCGGTGAATAGTCGAGTGGGAGGATCTTTGTCGTGGGATAGATGGTGCTGGCGAGGTGGTGGGGATTGGCTTCTATTCAAGAGAACTTGTTTCACGGACAAAAATTGAGTGATGATACACAGGGACATGTGCCCTTTTGTTGGGCATGAGACATCTGATACATGAAGCGCAGGAAAGAGTTGTTGATAAGTGCATAGCGTCTTGTTAGAGAAACGACCGGATTGGGAAATGCGGGATGCCAGTGGTTGCAGGCATGTGCGTCATGGCTTTGGGCAAGAATCAAGAATCTTCAGGGAGTACTCGGTAGGAGAGAATGTGCCTTGGAATTGCGGGGAATGTGGCTTGATCAACAACTCTACTGGGGGCCAAGTAAGCCACGCACTGCCACGCCTCCAATGCAGCCAGTGGCATTGGACGTTGGGCATAAGTGAATCCTGTTCCACCTCGACGCACACGCAAGCCATCCTGATGATCCTGTCCAGCTACCTCATCTTGAGACAAAGGCGTCTTCACCAGATTAATACGAATTGAATGCTAATTTTATCTTTGGGGGAGAGGAGTATGTGCAGGCTACCTAGGGCTTGCCAGAGGGCCAGGAGTCATGCGGAAAAAGGGTGATTGTGTAGATACAGACAAGATGTCAAAATGCCACGAGAAACAAAACCGGCGCCAACGAAACGAGTGACCAGATCAGAGTCCAATGCGATGCGAGAGAAAGACTGAACAAAGGGGAACAACAGAACAAAAGGACAGACAAGAAACACGGACCGAGCTGTCGAAAGCTCAACTGTCATCGTGTCCCTCCGCCTCCATTAGTGCCCCCAGCCTTGTCTGTCGTCGCATTCGCCGGCCGGGTAGCAGCCTTGCTCGGAGCAGTGCCTGCAGGTGGTGCCGGCATGGGCACTGGGTCATCGTAGCCATAGTCCAAGTCATCGTCACCAAGCTGGTCCAGTGGCTGATTCTCGTATCCATGTGGAGGCATCAGTGGGCCGTTGTAGTTCGAGGCCTTGGGCGTCCCCTTTGTCTGTTTCTTTCCCTTCCTGCCCTTGAGTTTGGCTTTCTCCAATAACCGCCTCTTCTCCGCCAACCGACGCCGTTCTTTGCGGTCCTTGATCTCATATTGACGTATCAACGCATGAGGAGGTTGACCAAAGATACTCTCATACTCGCAGAATTCACAGATCCAGATGTCTTCAGGGGCCGGCGGATGCTGCAAATTGTTGTATTCTTGTTGAAGCCGCCTCTGTCGGGCAGCCAAGGTATACACGTCTGCTCTCCTTCGGCGAGGTTTCTTGCCTTGGGCATTCGCATTTGCCGTGGCCGAAGCCGCGGCGGCAGTTTGAGAGTTTGGAAGCCCCACGCCCGTATTGGTGTGTGTCGCTTGAGTTGGTCCTTTCTGGTGTGTTGCCCCCGGACCTGAAGGACCCAAATTGTTGCGTTGTGCATACCCTGGCGAGTATAAACTCTGTTCGGGGAACGTTACTCCTTTGGCCTCGCTCTCACATGTAAAGGTAAACTGTGAACTGGTATGGGCTTGTTTGACTTGTTGATCCAAGACACCCACGTTCTCTTGACCTTTACCGAGAGGTTTCCGCAGCAGCGCTGTAGCATTGGCAATCGCGGCAGAAATAATACCTTGATCTTTGGATTCTTCGGCTTCGAAACACATTAGTCACACTCACATCCTTTTTTCCGCTATTTGATTCTTACCTTTGGCGTTAGCAGACATATTCTGGTCATATTTGGATGTACTGCTTCGAGCGTTGGAGCCATTAACCGAAACACCAAGCGGATTCCGTCCCGGTAGCTTTCTAGTGCTGCGCCCTCTCCCTGCTCCTTGCACTCCAAGGCCGGTGGGGCTTCCAGCGTGAGCAATTGTGGAATAAGAATCGTCCGCTGAGCCGTCTCTCGTGCCACTGATACCCATATGCGCCAACTGATCCGTGACAGATGAATGATGCAGACTCAAACTGCCAGAGGTGGGAATTTTTCGCTTTTTCTTATTATTAGTGTTTTCAAACGCCTCATATCCGTCCGGCCCAGACATGGTGCCCTTGGAAGAGTATCGGTGGCGACCCGAACGGGGAGATCGGGGGGATGACACAAAGTAGTGGCGGACGGGAACCATGCGTTCATCTTGAGAATCTAGATCATCTTCGTATTCATCGTGATGGCAGTGATGGTGGTGGTGAGGACAGTCATGATCATCGTCGTGGTCGTGGTCGTGATCTTGATCATATCCATCACTATGTTGGTGCACTAAAACTTTGCTGTCGTTGGGATAGTCACCATTTTCTCCATAGTGGGAGTATGTCGGTAGGCTGGTCGATGGAAGCGTAGGAGGATATGTGATGGCCTCAGCGGCTTCTTGAGACAATCGGGACTTGATGGACCGCTTGGGGAGTGGCCGAATAAGTCGCTCGGGGAAGACAGTGGAGGGAGTATCAGGGGACGAGAGGTAAGAGGTGTCTAGATCTCTATTGTTATTTTTTGCTGGGTGTGAGATCGAGGGTGGTGTCCGGGACCGCCCTGGGAGAGACATACTGTATGCCATCTTCAAGAGTCTTCCCTCCTTTTATTGAGCCTGGGCCAACAAAGATTTTCTCTGCCCCATTCAAACGCACTCTGCGGAGTTGGCGGCGAAATCTAACGGTGTTCATAAGTCAGCCAACGTTCAACAGAGATAAAAGTTGCCGCCACGGGTATTGCGTGATGTCTGAATGCCCTGATCTGGGTGATATAGAAAGAAGTGGGCGTACCAGTAAACCCGAATTATTCAGCCAAATCAGATTGGTAGTTGGGTGTTCTCATGGAGTACGGACTCGTCTCTCTTTGAAATAGATATCCAAACGGACTGGGGTGTACGGAAGACGGAGGATAAAGGTGCCAGCTGAATGGACTCAACCGGAGAAGTGAAAAATTCTAGTGGTTGTCAAAACTGTTCAACGGTAGCTTGCACCAGCAGAAGTAGACGCAGATGGAGGTGCAGTTCGACTCCGTTCGATATCGGCTGCCAAGCCGTGCAAGCCCCAGCGTAGCCGAGTTGGAGCCTCGTCTCATCTCATCGCTCCTTTCAAACACTGTCTCACAAATGGTTTTTGTTCGCTTGACCAGATTACAATTACCTACAATACAATAGGAGGTCCTCCAAGCCAAAGAAGCCACGTTTCATGCATTTCCCATCCTGCACCATTTCTCTTCTTGTGCTCGTTACAGTCATGAAATTATTCCATAAGGGTACTAGGCCGTTCTTCAATTTCACTCGAAGAACCAGTAATCCTCTATCATCCTGCCCTTTAGTGATTGCCCACCATTGAGTGGATGGTTTGATCGTTGCAATTTATCCATGCTATGCCTAAAAGAATCTTTTCATCTTGCTCTTAATGTGTCGAACGTGTGGTGGCGGCTTTCGAGGCGACTCTCTTTGCTCGGTTGCTGGGAGTTGAGTTGGTATGGTCAACCTCGTCGAGCTCCTCCGTTGCCTTCCTTTTCTTCTCCCTTCGAGAACTGAGTTTGGGGATGTCTGGGGGTCTGTCTCGCCTCATCTCTTTTCCATTGACCATGGCCGTCGGATCATTCGAGTCAACAACCACGGTTTCACTCGAATCTGGCGGAGAAGGTAGTTCGGCCTTGACCCGTCGCCGTTTTCGAGGTATCTCATCTTCAACCAGGACTCCCGTTTGTGAAACTGTACCACCTGATCCCAGATCCTGGGCGCCCTGACCGTAGCCTTTCACTCTGTCGTCGTCTATTTTGCCCACAATAGCATCGCGACAGTTTGTGGCATCTGGCCCAGGGTCTCCCTTCGAACTAATGGCCTGTTCGACATGTTCTTCCCCGGAGGGTTCTTCTGCCATGCTTTCTGCTACCTCGTCGTCCTCTTCGATTTCAGCCGAAGCATCTTGATTGGTGGCATCGAAGGACGGCTGCCGCTGCACATGTTTGAGACCCATATCTGCTAGACTCATCTCATTTGCCCAACTCTCGTCGTCTTCGGCTTGTCCTGTTGATTGATTCCAGCCATTGTCCTTGATCGCGAAAACGTCCTTCCAATTCTTCATGAGAGCGACCTTCTCTTGATCATCTTTGTGGGCTGGAATCTTTTGGCCAGTTTGCTGGGCCCAAATTGTGCCCTTGATGCTACTGGTCAACAGTTTGACCTCATCCAAGCCCGAAGGGAGGACGTCGATTGTCTCGATCAACTTCCTCTTCTTCCCCCTTCGAGAGTTCTGGGCAGCAACCAGAGTGTTTTTACCGATGGCAGGTTGAGGGATCTTTCTCAATAGCGTCGGATCATCATCCATGTAGTCGTCCGAGTAGTACTCCCAGTCGCTAAAGTATTCACTCATCTCGTTTTTAACAGCATCTTCCTCTTGATATACAGGACTGTGTACTGCATGCTCGGCCAAATCGTCGGCTAACTCTGGTGTCGGATCCGCATCCCACAGGATGTCCTCAAGATCGTCATAGGGGGAGTAGGTATAGTCTTCAAGATCGGACATCTTGAGGAAGGTGATCTTTTAATCACGTCTAGCGCTTTTCAGGACAACATGACAGGTTTCATTCACAGGACGTGGCAGAAAGAGGAATGAGAGAGGAGAGGAGTCCAAAAGGAATTGTTATATGTTCATTGTTTGAGTCGAAGGTGAACTTTTTTCTCCCTCCTGACCTCGAGGGATTCTCAGAATGTCGTTTGAGCAATCATGCAACCGAAGACGGCGTGGTGCAGGACGGAGGACAAATGGAATCCAGTGTGACGATGCTCGGGCAGGCATTTTGGAGAAACGGCACGCGTTTCGATCCCCACCTGAATGGCCCCCAGAGCTGAGATGCTGCCACTTCCGACGCCATGCGACGACAGCCGAGATCCTGAGAAGGGCTTCATATACCCATTTGTCTCCCTTGATGCTACATAAACTGCCATATCCCCAGTGTCCTGCGCGTCGAAAATGTGAGCAGTCCTCCTCGCTGACTTCACCATGTCTCATTATCCTTTCTCTCGAGCCGCAGCAGCCTTTCGACCGCGGGGCACGCTTCGCGCATACTCGACGAAAACCATCGACTCAATTCTCATTGCAAATCGTGGAGAGATTGCCCTGAGAGTCAATCGCACTGCTGCTCAGCACGGCATCCGCACGACTACTTTATACACGAATCCCGATGCCCTTTCACAGCATGCTCTTTCTTCCCCGTTCTCCTTTAACCTCGGCGCAACAGCCGCCTATTTGGATCAAGAGAAGATCCTCCGGATAGCAAAACAAGAGGGCTGTCAAGCTATCCATCCCGGCTACGGCTTCCTGTCCGAGAATGCAGAATTCGCAAAGAGATGTGCCGAAGAGGGCGTCACTTTCATCGGCCCTCCTGCAAGCGCCATTGAAGACATGGGTGACAAGGCGAGGAGCAAGGAGATTATGAATGCGGCTGGTGTTCCATGTGTCCCAGGCTACCATGGATCGGACCAGGCTCCAGAGACACTTGCACAAGAGGCGGACCAGATTGGATATCCCGTCCTGATCAAAGCAGTTCGAGGCGGAGGAGGGAAGGGAATGAGAATCGCCAAAAATGCTCAAGAGTTCTCAGACATGCTTGAAAGTGCAAAGAGTGAGGCGAGGAATTCATTTGGCAACGACGAGGTCCTTGTTGAGAAATATATTACCACACCACGTCACATTGAGGTCCAAGTATTCGCGGATCAGCATGGAAATTGTGTCGCTCTTGGTGAACGAGATTGCTCCATTCAACGCCGGCATCAGAAAATCCTTGAAGAGTCTCCAGCTCCGAACCTGGACGACTCGATTCGCAAAGATCTGTGGGACAAGGCACGAGCAGCTGCGCTTGCTGTCAAGTACGAAGGAGCGGGCACCGTGGAGTTTATTTTCGACAATGACACAGGTGAGTTCTACTTTATGGAGATGAACACCAGACTTCAAGTGGAGCACCCAGTCACCGAAATGGTCACTGGGCTTGATCTTGTCCACTGGCAGATCTTGGTTGCAGAAGGAAAACCCCTTCCTCTCACCCAGGAACAAGTCGAAGAACAGATCTCTCAGCGTGGACATGCTATCGAGGCTCGAATCTACGCTGAGAACCCGGACAAGGGATTCATACCTGATTCTGGCAAACTTTTACACGTCCAACTCCCCAAAGAAACTGCCAACGTGCGGATAGACAGCGGATTCGTTCAAGGGGATGAAGTCTCAAGCCATTATGACCCCATGATTGCGAAGTTGATTGTAAGAGGCGAGACTCGAGAGGACGCTCTGCGCAAAATGGTTGCAGCATTGCAAGACTACGAGGTGGCTGGGCCAATAACGAACATCGACTTCCTCAAGAGAATATGCAAATCCCCCGACTTCGTTACTGGTAACGTGGAGACAGGGTATATCGAAAAACACCGAGAAGAACTCTTCCCACAGATTAGTGTCACCTCAGAAGTCCTTGCACAGGCAGCGATTGCTTCGTTCCTTCGCCATTCAAATCCTCAGAATTCGAATGCTGCAACATCAGTCTGGCAACTATCGCCCCCCTCGTGGCTTAATACATCTTCGGATTTCCAGCCACGGACCTTTCAATTTTCCACGGCGAATGTCGAGTCTGAACCTGGAAAAGAACCCGAAATTCTTGCTGTGGAACTTCAACAAATAAACCCTGGTACATTCTCTGTGTCAACACCAAACTCTGACCCGATGTCGGTTTCATCCTCCTTCAACTCGGAATCAAATACCCTAACAACTTACTTTCCTCATACGCGACATACCTCACATATCATCTTCTCTCCTGACTCGGCATCGTCGGGCTCTGGGTCAAATCCAGAAACAATCCATCTCTTCACGCCGCACGGCTCATTCCTTCTCTACTCGCCTGCGCCCTCATGGCTTCAGAAAGCACTCGGCGTGACGGAGAAGCCCAACTCGTTGTTCTCTCCCATGCCGGCCAAGATTCTCCGCGTGCTGGTCTCACCAGGAGATGTGGTGAAAAAGGAGCAACCGTTGATAGTTATTGAGAGCATGAAGATGGAGACGGTTATAAGAAGCCCGATGGAGGGGGCCAAGGTACAGAGAATCGTGCATGGAGAGGGCGAGGTGGTTGCGAGTGGTGTTGCCCTGGTAGAGTTTGAAGAAGACGGTACCGAAGAGGGTGGAAAGTGAACACTCATGTGCAGCGTCCAAGAGATGAGGTGTGACGATATATCCCAGTTTTTTAATCAGTGGGATACATCCCCTAAGGCTATATTCACCAAGCGATGCCGTCTGGGGACATTGGTTTGAAAAGGGGGTTTACCCTCGCAATGTAGGCCAATCTACATATGTACGCTACGCCATACGCTCTAGTTAGATGAGCAAAGAGAGCAAAGAAAATCCAGAAGTCAAGTAAGCCTTGGGTAGCTCACCTTTTACGCCTGTACACGACCACTCTACCGATAACCCCGTAACTCCTTTCGTATTTTTCGTTTCCAGCTATGTTGTTGTCTGGCTGGAGTCTGAAAACATCTTCATAAGGGAAACAACCATGCAGGATAAGACAGATTCTTGTAGGACAGACACGTTATTGACT